ATATATATATTAATATATATAATATATATATATTAAAGGATAAGAAAGTAGGAGGGAGGGATATGAAAAGAAAGAAGGTGAGAGGAGAGCAGACATAAAGGAAACAAAGAAAAGCAAAGAAGAGGAGAAAAAAAGGAGGAAAGTGGAAGGAAAATAAAAGACAGGAGAGGGAAGAAAAGAAAAGGAAAGAGAGGCCAGATTGCCTGCAGCGTCGCTGCCTGAGAGGGTGTGACACTTAACACCAGCTCTCCTCTGACTCCCAGCATCTCTGTCTGACAGCCTCCGAGTCCCACCGCCATGTCTGACCTTTACATCATTGTAGCCAGCCTGTAGCCTTCACTCCGGAGCTCAGCGAGCTCTACTCACTAATAGAAGGCCAAACACAGGAGATGAACCGAATGTCTCCACAGCTGTAGACTCATTAAGTATGACTTTTAATGTTCCTGCCTACAACGACTGCATGTGAAAACTGTTACATCACATAATGTTCTTATTGGATTCGCGCTGTACAGATACTCTTCTATTGCCATTGTTTGGCTGACTCATGCTCTCTCTGCCTATATACAGCACATGTGGGTCTGGTTCTGCATGTGTTTGTGCACAGACTTAAGTTGACTATGAAAACAGTGTACATTGGGTTAGCACTTGCAGGCGGGAGATATGTCACTGTCCCTCCTGCAGATGTCTGTATATGGGTGCAAAGGGAGAGCCTTCACAGCATGTCACTGCAGAGAATGGCTTCTAAGAGGAGAGCTGCTGCACTTCTCCCCTTCTTACACCCCCCCCTCTCTCTTTCTGCCATTTTGTTCTCCAATCCCTCCTCTGCTCCTTCACCCATTCCCTTCCTTCTTTTTTTTTTCCTCCCCTCTCTATCTTGTCTCTCACTCTCTTCATCTTCACACTCTCTACCTTGTTATCCTCTAATGTATTTCCTGTGTGTCTGACCGCAGGGTACAGGCAGAAGGGTAATCTGTCTCAAGGACAGACGGACAGCACCAACAGATTGCTACAAACTGTGGCACCAAGCTTGGCTGCAATTTTGAGAAGAGGCATTTTATCACATTATGCTCTTGTCAGACCTATTTCCACACTTGAGAGATTGCAA